TGTAAATTTTTCTCATGAATAATAACAGAGGCTCATAAATATTGATGGCGTCCTTTGGAAACAGACATGTCACAATAACCTCTCATAAGATTTATATACACGTCAAATAATAACACTGTATATTGTAACAAAAATGCATTCACCCACAAATATATAACTGCGTTCGGGGGGGAAAAAATGCATTAGAGAACATCAGCATACATACACCATGTTTGTATGTGTGTGTACCCCGTGGATTGGAGTAATAATATCTCGAGGTCCATTCTTTTCTCTTATAATGACATTTTCTTCTTGAGAATCCATTGCATTTTTAATCGCTTTCAATGCATTTTTAATTACCGTTGGCTAATGCTAGTAAAAGGTTGGTATTCAATAGTTAATTACCTGTAAATAGACTTGATCTCAGGTCCATGTGTGTCAAGTACGTGGCTTTGCCTGTCACGTCCAAACATTAGTAATTTCTTGCATTGTAATCAAATGGCTAGTACGTTAACAACAACAAAATAGCCGTTCATCAAAATGTTTTCCCTCCTCGCCACCATTACCACCGTGGCCCCACTTTTTATTTCGTGTGGCAAGATGATTCTGGGCCAGGGTTAACATCAGTGGCGAGTGATATCTGAGGCGGTTTTGGCCCCTCATCATCCTCCTCCACTCATGTCACCAAGCCACACTTGCATGATCAAGCGTGGTTGAAGTCACAGAAGCCTCACGACCTACATGGCCTTAGGAGGGCCCTCATCCAGCAGTGGACTGACACAATGGCTGGACATGGTGGTGGTGATGATGTGGCGGAGCAGATGCTGAAGTTTCATCGGGAAGAAATTGGGCTGCATCACCCGGCATGTACCGAACCACAATTATCATAACCAATGCTCCTGGTGCCCTTTGCAATTATAGCGGAATGTGAGAGTGAGAGAGGGGTCAACATAATAAAGCACGACTTTCTAGGACAATTAGCGAGGCAAATTAAAATATTTGGTGGGCAATGAATAATTCAATAACTTACACGCGAACTGCAAGCCTATATTTGTACAAAGCTGCCAGTCATGAAAAGCTTTAAAACGATACGTTAACTTGCGAACACACAATAGCGAAGCTAACAAAACTGTGAAGTGTTTTTTTTTATTCTTCCAATTAGAGAATTGTACGAGGGGGAAGAGATGTCCATTACAGCCAGTAAGCAGCGGCACGGCGTTGTGAACCTCACACGGCAGCCCCACAGCTTGAAGACTTTCCCGACGACAGACCACGACCAGCCTTGCCCGTCAGGACACAATTAATGCCCCAGCAGAGGGGGGGGGGGGAGGAAGGTGTTGTCTGCAACAGGAACACCACGGGGGTTTTTTTTTTAAGAAAGCAGAATCTTCCATTCGCAGAAAAAAGAGAAAACTACGTAAATGACGGCTAATTGGAGGCAGTACTGGACAGCTATCGGGTGAGATGTCTGGTTGGCATGATGTCTGACGTTTCTCTCCAAGTGCTGGGAACTTGCTCAGGAACGGAACTGAATTTCTCAAGTGGTTCCCTACACGTGAAGCGGAACTGAATTCCCAATTAATCTTCCGGCACGTGGAATGGAAAGATCGCGCGCATCATGTCGAACAACACCTGTTCTTCACCTGAGGACAGCCCTGTTCTTCACCTGAGGACGGCTGCTTGCGTTGTGGCCGAAACGTCGTGAGAATTGTATTTTATTATGTTTTATTTTTGTTATTTTATAATTTCCCTTCTACATGACTTTACCGAAAGAACCAAGAAGATGAACACGTGGTACAACCTAAATCGTAATTTCCTGAAGAATCTGTCGGCACGTTGGACCAAGTACCACCTGCAGATGTCTACTCTCCGGATGACCACTTAGTGTTTTACTCCAGTACACAGACACTGTTGAGATCACCAAGTATAAACATGTGAATGTAGATGAATGTGGACATATTCATGTTTAAGATATTGTTTTCATTGTTTTTTTGTAATGTGTGATACTTTGTACGCTGGGCGGGCTCCCTTGAAAAGGAAAGAGAGAGAGAGAGAGTTGTATAACTCAACGATGAGCTTTGCTTGGAGAAACATACATTTCTGAACCGAATCGACTCTTAATTTCGGTACCAAATGGAGTCGACTCAACCCCCACGATTGGTTCCAAAACTTAGAATCGAAATGACGCAATTGTGTTAAAAAAATCTAATTAATATAAATTGTAGTTGTACGGATTTTTTTAATAAAACAATGTTTAATTATAGTAATATACTGGTAGGAACCTACTGGTTATACCAGCCCACAGGGGATTATTGTGTCCGTCCGTCGTGCATCCAAAAATGGGAGGAGTGGGGCTGGGTGGGGATGGGCTGGTCACCCCATGGTGCCCTTATAAAACTCAACGTTTAACCTACTCACGCCGGCTTGTGCCCGCCCTCACAGTCGGCCATATTTGCGGAATACACCACGCCGCCGTTGACCCTGGCCACTGACTGAGCAACCCAACGTTCCTATCAGCTCCCTCCGCATGAATGTGTTTTATTTAACAGTCATTACGTGAACGTGACTTTCTCGAAGTCGGGTCACCGGGTCTCTGAGATCACTACGCTGATCACCGCACCACTCCTCAAATCGTGCAATATAGTCCGCTATTTTACTTTTCTATTTACGTTGTTTCACTATAACGTCGCCAACGTGTTGTAAAATGCGAGCATCGTGACAATGACTCGTGAGCGATATTTTAAATGTGATTGTGATATTTTCATTAAAACAATATGATAGAAACTTACGTGTTCACAATGTGTTGTACTCTATAACCTAATTGAGTGTTCGGACTAATTAATCACATTCTTTTTTTGGATATTAATAACAATCATTAAGCAAAGCACATACCGCGTGTTCATCAACTGCTACACGCCAGCTGTGCCACGCCGTGTGGGCGACGAGCGTTGTTTGGCCATACTTCACCACAAGGCCGTAGCCATGGAGTCAACATTGGGGGGGACCAAATCTTCCAGGGGGGCTGGGGGTCCCCCCCCCCAGAAAAAAAAAATCGAAATTTGAAAACGAATTTCCTGCCTAAAATATTAAAAAATTCACTAACACATAGGATGGACTTTTTATTTATTTTTTACAATGTCTAATAGTGTATTGCATTACATTGCTCTGTTTTTTTTCTTTTTTCGTTTCATTGTATGTAATGACAGAGATTAGGGATTCATAAAGTACAACCATAACCACAATCATATGAACAGAAATCTATTTTATAGCAATATATTGGGGGGGGGGGGGACATTTTGAGCATATTTGAATATTGCGGGGGGAGGGGGGATGTGTCAATATATATTCTAATTACGGCCTTGCTTCACCACGATGGCCATGTCCTGTTTCGTAACCCAGACGGAGGTCTCAGTTCAAGTGCACAGACATCGCTCACGGATTGCAGTTGCACGGATTATAACCTACCCCCATCTAGTGGAAAGGCGGACGCAATTGCTTTCTGTGTTTGTTTTGGGGGATGTCACAAAATACAAGTCCCGGTGTATTTGTGTGTAGCCTACATTAAAGTGCAAGCATTAGCCCTGATCGATCCACTGCTGGATGAAGGCCTCCCCCAGTTCTTTACCAGATCTCAGGGTGCTGCAATGTAACTAACAGTCCGCCCAGCGCACGGGTGAATTAATCGCCCCATCTCTGGGACATATTTTATTCCTTCGCTGCCACGAGGTCATTATTATTGAGCCGATAGGTCATCATCTCTTCTGGGAGGTGTTCTGCCCAAGCGTGTGGATGGTGTCCTGACTAAAAATAAATAGCCATCTCCTATTTGCTAATAACATGATGTTAACGGTTGCAAAATTATTCGCGGATATTACTGCAGAACCTTCACACATCTGGACTCAAGGTAATGTGCAACACGTTTCCAAAACAAAACTAAACTTTGATTTAAATCTTTTGTGACTGCAGGGATTCATGTTCTTGGTTCTTTCGGTAAAGTCACGTACAAGGGAAATATAAAACAATAAAAATTCTCACGACGTTTCGATGGCAACACAAGCAATCATCATCATCACCTGATGATTGCTTGTGTCAAAAATCGTCCAAAATCGCGTGATGTCATTTATGGACGGCCCCTTAAGTGCAGTGTTCTGAGACGTAGTTATGTTCAGCTTTAAGCTCGCCGGAGTTGCAAACAGCATAATTTGGAAGCGTAAAGTTGACCTAACCTCTTGTTAGACGTGGCACAGAAGGAAACGAAGCCAGGAAATGCTGTGCGATGTGGCGTTGAATTCATTGTATGGTTAACTCTCGACAAAGACGGGGAAATTGGCGTTACAAAACCAGAAATAGTCGTTCCAACTTCGTGGTTCTTTCGGTAAAGTCACGTAGAAGGGAAGTAATAAAATAATAATAAAAAAACATAATTGAATAATTCTCACGACGTTTCGGCCACAACGCAAGCAGCCGTCCTCAGGTGAAGAGCAGGTCTGTCGGGGAGACAGCGTCTTCACCTGAGGACGGCTGCTTGTGTTGCTTCCGAAACGTCGTGATTTAATTTAGTTATTTTCATTTATTATTATTTTATTCTATTATTATTGTTTTACCTACGTGACTTTACCGAAAGAGTACAGACGTTGTTGGCACGTCACATTAGGTGACGCTTTTATTTCTTTATAATATTGGAAAAGTGCAAGCAAATTGTGCCTAAACAAATTTACGTTTCCGTTCCACCTTTCTGCTTGTGTAATGACGTCATCCGTTCATAATTATTAATGAGAAGGGGTGGGGGGTGTCCATATTCTTAGGTTTTTTTCGGTAAAGTCACGTAGGTAAAAACATTAAAAAGTAAAATAAAATAAAAAAATCACGACGTTTCGGAGGCAACACAAGCTTCCGTCTTCAGGTGGTACCGTCACAGCCACGACAGCTGTATCAAGTAAATGAGAGATTGCAGGAGTTACCACTGCGTTTATTTTGAGGGCGGCACCCGCTAATGAATGTTAATTAGTGGGGGCTGACGTCACGAGCGTTAATGACGTTCCTGGGGTGATTCTCGTGTCCATATTGGCCGCCCGATACAATTCGGGCGCACGTGAAACGCGTTTCACAATTGAAGCCCGCGCCCTCCTCGGCCACCGTTCCCGTCATGGCCGAGTAAGTGTTTCTGTTACCGGCGGCAACGGCGTTATTAAACATTAACACTTTCTCTTATGCGCGCTCGTCTCTGATTATTAATCTCTCACTTCGGTGTCCTTTGTTCACAAGTTTGGTACGCGTTTATTGCGAGCTGAAAAGCTGTTTTGATTTAGTCTATCGCAGGACGCGGGGTGGAGGGAGCATGGCCGTGCTAGTCGAGGCGCAGAGTCTGGTTGAAAGCAATATTTTTTGTAACAATCTTAGTGATACAATCTTCAACTCTAACTATTAAAACGCATACAGTGTGAACGTCGTAAGCTTGCTGCTGCTGCTACTTTTGCGACAATAATCCGTCACTCTTACCTACAGTTTAACGTTTCAATGCTGGTGCACTATGGATGGACTTCTCTTGCCACACTAACGTGGAGGCTGTGACATTTTTTGCCTCGGATAATTCAGCACTGGGGTCATAACACGAGTAGCATCGCGATGAGTCAGAAGTGGTCGTGCCGTGGATCAATCGGTCCCTGCCATGAGAACGAGGAATTGCCATCAACTGGGTTGAGGCAAACCACTGTACGCGATTGAGCAGAGCGACTGAAATTGTTGAGTCGGGAAGATTGTAAGAGAAGACAAGCCTCAATTACAGAATATACAAATGGTCTGTTGTGGTTTACAGAATGTGTACATTAATGTTAATGAGGTGTGTGTTACGCAAATCCTAATTGCATGCAACTGTTATGCGTGTCGACAGTTTCTCAGATCGCAAGTTGGGCAAAGATGCCCAGATGAGGGCAGCCATAAATCAAAAGCTCATAGAGACTGGAGAAAGGGAACGGTAAGATCAGCAGAAACTTGGGAAAGAGTAAACATGCAACTCCACAATTATTGCTTTTCTTACACGACTTGTGGCAGAAGGGCCTTCGCTAGACGGACCTCAACAAGACTCCTTCGAGAGGATATTTGACATAATCTTCCATGGTGGCCAGATGTTTTGGAAGAGTTGGAGTATCCACATTTTATCCCTACCACCACGTCACCTGCCTATCGACTGTTGTGCACCCAATATTTTAACTACCCTCCTGGGAGATTTAATCAAACCAGCGACCTCTGGGTTGCCAATCCAGTGTGGTAACCGTTACACCACAGTGGCATCCTTAAGAAATAAATGATTTGATTTTAATACCTTCAATTATTTGCATTGTTTGTGTATGTGTGGGCAGTTTGAAGGAGCTTCTGAAAACGAGGCTGATGGAGTGTGGCTGGAAAGATCAGTTGCGGGCTCACTGCAAAGGTTTGCACATAATTTTGTACATGTACAGCCCTATATCAATTCACTCCAGGTCAAATGTGTTATTTTAAAATATTTCACCATGATGGTCAGTCTGGATTGAGGAACAGGAGTATATACGTGGGAGCATTGAAGTAATATGTGCTTTGAAAATCAGCACGCGATAGGAGGGTTAAAAAAAATTCATCCTACTGCTTACATCGGTGGGTTTGGCAAGTGCATGACCAAACTTTAACCACGTCTGGGTAATTTTTACAGCTGTTCTAAGTGCTATAGAGCCACTATTCACATGTATCTGATCACATCACATACATATAAGCAGTATCTTTATAGATTACAGGAGTGACATTTTAAGAAATATTATTTTGCTTGAAAAAAGTAAACACGGAAGTATGTAATATATGGTAAAGATGGTCATACTTGCTCACCGTATGAACCCCATTCCCAAATACATTGGTACCTCGGCATACGTCGTTAATTCGTTCCAGAAGGTAGGACTTATACCAAAAATGACGTATACCAAACAAATTCTTCCCATAAGAAATAAAGGGGAAGGAAATAATCCGTTCCAGAGTATAAGAAATTATATTTTCTATGGCATATTATACATTAATGGGGTTGTATAAAATAATTTAGACACTATTTATTACTAAAATGCATAAATAAATTAAAATAAATGCATAAATAAATCAAAATAAATTTAAATAAAAATACAATGTAACATCACTTTACCTTGCTGAGAGGAGTTGATAGCCTATGAGGATGGTGGTGAGGAAGGGGAGGAGTCGTGAACGGGGTCTACGCGGCGGGTACGCGGTGACTCATCCCGACCCATACAAGTTCTTGCAAGCGCGTCGTATCCCAAGCAAGACGTCGTATCCCAAGACATTTTTCTCTCGTAAAAACACGACGTATACCAAATTCGACGTATTCCAAAGCGGTCGTATACCGAGGTATGACTGTATTAATATGGCCATGAGCCGTGAACGACACCCTGTGGTCACGCGGCTGGTTCGCTCGTGCTGCTCGACGGGAGCGCACCAGGATGACTCTCTCCTGGTCCCGCTTGCCAGGGGAGAGTTCCCCGGGTAACTCCTGCTTCCGACAATGTTTCCTGTTACAAGTAACGAGTTGTTAAAATTGAACTGTTTCTCAATCGAGCCGTACTTGATCTGTTTAACACATAGGCTTTTGCGACCGATATTATTAATATGGTTTTTGCTGCTGCTCTATTTAACACCGGGAGCAACAGGAGAGCTTCACCATTCTTGCCCACTGAAGCTGATAGTAATTACCAGCGAAACGTCGTACTCAAATTTTAAAATGTCTGTTGATTCTCTCTTCAACACACCGGTGGGCTAAAGAAGTGAATTATTTTGTCCTTTGAAAAACGTGACACATTTTTACTGTTTGGCCGTGTCGGGTGGTGGAGGGTTACGACACATTTATAAATAACGCGATCTGACCCAAAAACCTATATTACGCACTTGATCTATCTGGGAGCTGCAGTTTGGCCACGCATCCCCTTGTACAGATTTACATGAAATCAGGGATTGCCACTGTTTAATACTTCAGAATGCTTGCTTTGTTGTTAGTGTGATATGGCCTTCATTAAAAGCTCACATTTCCCAAGTCGAATCATATTTTAAGACACGCCACTAAAGGGCAGCATTATTGTGTTCTTTTAACACTAAAACCTTTACGATGTGTGCCGTATTAATTTAAATTGATCCTAACTTTTCATGGCTCTAGTGTGATTTTAAAGTCGATAAAAATAGGTTACGAGTAATGTGTTGAGTAAAAACGATCAAAATCGTTAGTGAACAAAAAAAACTACAACAGCTATGCAAAATCTAGTTAACAAAGAGATTAGCTCCAAAAAGATGTGATACTTACAAAAAGGTGATTTATAAGAAAATTGAAAGCCTCTTAAGGATGCAGTGCACAAGTGGCTGCATGAAACAAAACATGTCAGACAAAATATACTAAAAGTATCCCCGTTCTTCTTAAAGAACACGTCGGACTGTTTTGTAAAGTATCTTGAGATGCAGTGGTGTTGAAATTCTATTAAAAAAAATCCAAATTGTACTGTAACAATACAAGCCCTGTAAATATGCGATATAAAAGTGGCCAAGCTAAACAAGACATTTTAGACAAACTCTGCTCTTTTTGATGCTACTTTAACATGACCGTACATCTCTCCATGTACATGTACTAGCCATTTTGTCCATCCATTGCTGGATGAGGACCCTCCCCATATTGTGATGGTCATGTGGATTGTTTGACCATACCTCATGCTGGCCAGTGCAGCTTAGGCAAAGCCACTGGTGATAGCCATGACCAGGGGTCAAACTCAGGACCTCATTATGCAGTGCGTTAACCACTGCACTAATACTCCACACAGCGTGTTTTTACATCGGCTTAAATGTATACAGGGAATAGTTTTTTTGACCAATAAACATTCTTCAATGGTGCCTAAGTATTGTTATGAAAATTATTGCCAACCTTTTTTTGTAACCTTTACAGATGTCATTCGAGACAAGGGACTTGAACATGTGACAGTGGAGGACTTAATTTCAGAAATCACACCAAAAGGCCGAGGTTTGTGCTAAATCTGCATTCTGGTAGTGCAGTACAATGTCGTATACCTGACTCACTGGGGGCTGAGGGTCGCCTAATGAGGGATGCTGGACATATTTAAAAGCGCAGACTGCTGTAAACATGGGAAAATGCTTTAGTGTGCTTTAGAATTGAGCAAATGTACGAGAGGTTAAGAACACAGTGTGTGAATATTTGGTTCTTTCGGTTAAGTCACGTCTAAAGATAAAATAATAAATTAAATTAAATAATAGCATACGACAGTTCTAAAATTAAGATTGAACACAGTGTGTGTGAAAAGGTGATGTTTGCACACTGACATAAGGCCGTAAATAATAATATAGTAATAGTCACACCAGACCATACTTAGGATTCTTAAAATTCAGTGTAAATGCCAAATTCTCCAAAAGCCAAACTAAAGCAAATTATTGACGATCTTAAGCAGAGGGAAAACATACTTCAAGCTATCTTGCATGGTTAGCATGTGATGTTTTGTATTAATTTCTCCTTCATTTTTTACCCTTCTAATTGTGGAGCTTTTCAATCACGTAAATAATCATTCCATTAACCACAGACTTATCAAATATGATTTTTATACGTTGCAGGATGTGTACGTTAATTATAATGTTCAGTAACGTGAACGTGTTTTTTTCCGTTGATTTACCTAGCGTTGGTGCCAGACAATGTCAAGAAGGAGCTGCTGCAGAGGATTCGTGCTTTCTTGGCGCAAAATACTAACTTTTAGAGTTCTGCCAACAATTCCGTACCACAACATGTTGATTAGAGCGTTGCCTCACATAATGTATTGCTCATGCCACCATTCCCTTGTGCAGTTCGCACCCCGTGTGTCCATGTGACGTTTTTACGTAGTCATTTTTTGTAAGCAATAAAAGTACCATTAACAAAGCCAAAATGGATGTTAAATGTTCATGATTTTCACGAGCTCGTGCTCAAGGCACTCCAACTTTGTGTTTTAAGCTTCATAATTTGGTTGTGGTATTTAATTTGTTGTTAAAGATTTGTAGCAGCAGTTAAGATCATTTTCACGCAAATTAACAGTTTGAGTCTAATGTTTAATAATTATAAGTCATGCAGGTAAACGCAGGACATTTAAGGCTTTTCTGTATAATCTGTGCATTGGTCTCATCAAGACAATCTCCAGTGCTGCTCTGATGATTCCAAGATTGAAAGCCTTCCTGTGATGGTGCTTTACAATCATCAGTATCACTGAAATAGGTGACGAAATCCAAAGGTTCAAGCAGTGAACTGAAGAGTCTGTAAATCTATTCATCTCTGCTAAAATGCATGTTCTGGAACTAAGTAGTCTTTGTTGGATTTCAACATTTCCAGTTATATGTGGTTTGTGTTGGTGCAATTAGGGAAAGGGAGGCTGGGCAGGCAGATCTCCTATGTCGGTTCTTCAAACAATAAATTCAGACCGGCTGTGACAAGTTTGGCATATTCTTGGTTCTTTCGGTAAAGTCACGTAGAATGGAAAAAATAAAACATAAAATAATTCTCACGATGTTTCGGCCACAACGCAAGCAGCCGTCCTAAGTTGGAGAACAGGTCTGTCGAGAAGACAGTTATTTTATTATGTTTTATTATTGTTTTATTTCCATTCTACGTGACTTTATTGAAAGAACCATGAAGATGAATACCTGCAGTCACGAAAGCTTTAAATTGAAAGTTTGGCATATGCTGGTGGGTCACGTGACTTCATATGTCACGTATACTTATGTCACGTCATAACTTGTACATTTGGTCACTCTGTACCTCTTGTCTCTGGGTCTTTTATCTGTCTTTTGGTTGTCTTGCGTTCATCTCCAGCTCAATAATATTCACTGCTTGTCTGCAGTTCTCCCATCTCTATCTCTTGTTAATCTTTCTTTCATCTCTCTTATCTGTTTCACTTTTGTGTCATGCGAGTCATCTTTCAGTGGGTCATTGCTCGCCATGCCACTCTCCCAATACCTATTTTTTTCCACCGTACAATCAAGGTTCGCCAGAACTATTTCGAAACCAGCGCGGCACAGCTGAGGAGGTGACAGGTTGAGTTTCCACTGCAGAAGTCGAGCCGTGCCATTGCCGTCAAACGCAATGAGCGAAACGTGTCCTTCCAGTGTACCAACTGACTGATGTCGTGTGCAAATGAACAGCATCATCCCCACCCCTGCCCTTGCTTTGGTGGCTCCGAGCTAGAATCGGATGTCTTCTGAGGTCAGCGTGTTGTGGTTTGATTTCAGCCTGACACGGAAAATCAATTAGAAAGCCACCTGTACCTCGAGGGCCCCATGCCTGCTTGGCTCGGATGTGCCACTTGAAAAGGGTTCAAGAGTCCTTTGCGAACCACCTCTGGTCTGGCCATCCAGTTGAAGAACCATGACCTATGTGATTCGTGAATTGATTATTGTAGGCAATGAGGAAGTCTGTGTTTCTAATCTATGTTCAGTTTTGTGCGTGCTATTTTAAGTGTGGCTTTTGTACAAATTATATGGTTTCACTGATGATAAAAATAATTGTTCAACGTTCCAAGCAGGAACCTCCTGGATATCTTAAGAAGAACCCATGAGGTTTTCCAAAATAGAAATAATTTCCAATTGGTGAATTAGTAAAGTGCTTGGATGGATTACCATGCATACATCCGATATGAAACATGCAAAAAATGCGTGTTCCAGGCTATTACGAAACTCCTCTGCTCACTTGATCATGCCCCCTCCCTTCAATCCGAACTGATCAGCGTGGCGAAGTATGGTCAATTAACCCCCACGGCTCGCATTGCATGGGGAGGCCCTCATCCAGCATTGGTTTGACGAAAGGGCTACATATACACATTAATAACGTACGTGACTACAGGTGTGCATTGTACTTGTTTGTGCTTGTCTTTAAATATTTACCATCAAATGTGAAAGTTTTAACGTCTGAAAAATTGCAGCTGACATGGAGATCGACACTTTATTAGTATGGTTCACTTCATATTGTGTTTGCAGATCTCATTTTTTTTATGCATCTCCAAGACAATGGTATGCCATTGTTTAGGTCACGCGTCTGGTGAATGACCTTCTTTGCATGAAACATTTTGTATTGCATTCATTAAGACTCTTCTTATTGTGATAAATTCTCGCAGCACAAACATTTTTTTCTAAATCCATCATAAGATACTGTGCAGCTTTTCGCGGTTTTGCGTTGTGCCATGGGGGTGGTGTTCAGCAAGATGTCCGGACATTTCGACCCACCTAAGTTCCATTCCCGAGTTCAGTTCCTGAAGAATTCCCGAGCACGTGGTGCGAAACGTTGTACATCGTGCTAAACAACACCGATACTTTATTTCCGAGAGGATCTTTGGAACACAATCTTGAATTGGTTGTGTTGATGTTGTTTTTATGTTTTGTGATTGTACGCAAACATCAACAGGCTATTTATTTTTAAAAATGGGTACGTTAGAAAAAAAGTTCCACATTTATTTTAAAACTTAATTTCCACGGGCTACATTTTCACAATCATTCTTTATTTATCCTGGGCAAATCCGATGAGCTATTAAGCTATTTCACATATGTCCAATTTGGGCGGGTTCAGAACGTTGCAACAGCAAACAATACAACAAAGTATAGGAAAACTAAGCAAATCACTAAAATGTTCTAATAAAAAAACTGAAAATTTTACCAAGTAAAGCGAACTGAGCGATTAGTTATTTTACAGAAGCCACCTGGCCACAAATTATAGCTCTACGAAGTGGCGTATCTTGTGGAAATGTATATCAGCAGCTAAATAATATGAATTGCTATTTCCGTCTTGCATTTCTCAAAATTGGTTGTCCGTCGTCAAACAAGCATTAGGATAAAAATGGACAACGCTGCCAAAGTAACGTATACATGAAATAGTTCACCGAAATATAAAAAAAACACATGCATGTTGTGCACGTGCGTATCTTTACAAGCCCGTACAATTGTACTGTATATGTATGCTGTTTTAAGTTTGTAAGTCGATGCATTGGTGTCATTTTTCAATTTAACATTTTAGAAACATTACTTTGAAGGTGAACTGGTGGATGTGGAAGCATTTGTGCCTTGACTGCTTTTGTTGTGATAATAAATATTTTTCAAAAGACTATGTGGACATAACCCGCTTATAATTTTATATACGTTAAAATATATCAAGCAAATTTGAGTTTTCCATAATAGGTTTTTTTTGGGTTACTTCGCATAAATATGAATGTGTCGTTAAACCCACCACCACCCGACACAGGAAATTTAGTAAGGTTTCGTCACGTAAACATTCCTGCGGAGGGAGCTGGTAGGAACGTTGGGTTGCTCGGTCAATGGCCTGCAGGGTCAACGGCGGCGTGGTGTATTCCGCAAATATGCCCGACTGTGAGGGCGGGCACAAGCCGGCGTGAGTAGGTTAAACGTTGAGTTTTATAAGGGCACCATGGGGTGACCAGCCCATCCCCACCCAGCCCCACCCCCGACCCGGCCCCACCCAGCCCCTCCCCACCCTCCCCTCTCCACCCAGCCCCACCACTCCCACCCCCCACCCAGCCCCACCCTCCCCACCCAGCCCCTCCCCACCCCACCCAGCCCCACCCCTCCCATTTTTGGATGCACGACGGACGGACACAATAATCCCGTGGGCTGGTATAACCAGTAGGTTCCTACCATTATATTACAATAATTAAACATTGTTATATTTTAAAAAAATCCTACCAGTAAGAAAACGTGGCAATGCGTTACGAGTACAGCACACCGGTGTGTTGGGTGAGTAAACTCACAGAATGTACATGTTGGGTTTACATGATGTTGTGGGTTTACTCTCCAACACTCTGGTGTGCTGGACAAGTAACCAATTGGCATATTTAGAAAAACCTTACTAATTGGCTGTGCCGGGTGGTGGTGGGTTTAGCGACACATTCATATTTACGCAATCTATACCCAAACCCCCCTCTATTTGAGATAATATTGGTCGCGAAAGCCCCCTGCTCCACCCACCACCAAACCACTCCTCCCGTATCTTGATTTGAAGCTTTCGTGGACTGCATTAATCCATACTCTTTGGTTCTTTCGGTAAAGTCACGTAGGTAGACAAATACTTAATTTTTATTTAAAAATATTTTAATAAAATATTTTATTAAAATATTTTATAGGTATAAAATACAATATTTTATTATTTTTAGAAAATACTTTATTTTTAATTTAAAGTATTTTATAGGTATAAAATAAAATATTGTATTTTATACCTATAAAATATTTAATACCTACGTGACTTTACCGAAAGAACCAAAGAGTTATGCCACTCTCCCCGTGTTAAACACAATCCACTTTCGATTCAACCTATGGGTGACGTCATCACGGCGCGCCCAACACGTAAAAAACAAACACGTGGGTCACAGCGTCACCACTGCATTGCATTTTCACAATCCCGCAAGAGGCTTCATCATCTTCATAATTTACAGATATTTTTGTTTGTCAAGCCTCTGCCGGATGAAGCCTCTTCCCCTATGAACACGCGGTCGCTCATGGGATTCGCTTGACCATACTTCACACACACGCTGGTCAGTTCGTGCGATGCGTAAGAGGGCCCACCCCGTGGGATGCCGATTCGTGTAGGATTCGCAGCTCGTGTTGTGTGTTCGTCTCAATAAGTCGGCCAACCCGGGCAGGCCAACAGCACATCAGGGTCTGTTCCGTGATCTCCTTCTCGTAGCTGTCAACTTATAGGGTTTAAAGCGTATTCTTGTGCAGGGAAATTTAGTTTTCATGTCCATACGGCGTGCAGCCGTTTCAATAATAAATGCGTGTCGGTGTTTCGTTGATATTTATAAGGCCGTAATTGGTCTGGAATAAGGTAGGGCACTGATAAGGGGTTGACAGGGATGCCTTTTATCTTGCCAGCGAGCCTTAAGACACTCCACGTGACGGTCACAAGGTGCACCTAGCCTGGCACAGGCGCCGTGGTGGGTGTTGTGGCTATGGATGTAATGCAAGACGTCTTGAGTTGATACAGTAATACGGTGTACATATCTACGGGACCTTTTTGCCATTATCACCTTTCTGGAAATAAAACAGGAGTCGTTTAAGATGTTCAAACATAACATACTGTAGATACATTTTGAAAGGCATCAGGTCTGCATTAAGTACACGTACATGTGGCAAAACATGCAAACATAATATATGCATTGTCTTTAAAGCTACAGTTCACACTTCTGTTACAGGTTTTTTGGGGGGGTTAGATCGCTTAAATATATAAATGTGTCGTTAAACCCGCCACCACCCGACACAGCCAACTAGTGAGGGTTGTCAAGTAAACAGAACGTGGCCAATTCGCCACTAGTACAGCACTAGTGTGTAGTGTATAGTGTAGTATACTAGTACAGCACTAGTGTGTAGTGTATAGTGTAGTGTACTAGTAAAGTGTGTAGTGTATAGTGTAGTATACTAGTACAGCACTAGTGTGTAGTGTATATTGTAGTGTATAGTAGTGTAGTGTATAGTGTAGTATACTAGTACAGCACTAACCGGTGTGTTGGAGAGCCAAGCCACAACATTTACAATCTGAGTACGACGTTTCGCCAGTAATTACAACCAGCTTCAGGCTACAGCCAGATTTGTGGAGAAATCCTCCTGTTTCGTTTCTTAAATAGAGGGGTAGGTGTGATGGGGGGGTAATGTATATATGTATATAATTGACTATGGGTATCCATTGCGGTACATCACATACAAACCTTACTAATTCGCTCTGTCGGGTGGTCACGGGTTTAATGACACATTTATATATTTACGAGATCTAACCCCAAGAAAACCTGAAGACGGCTGCTTGTGTTGCGATCGAAACGTCGTGATCGATTATTTTTTCTTTACCGAAAGAACCACCGAGAATAGATTCCTGCAGTCACGAAAGCTTAAAATCAAGATTCACGCTTCTGTTGTTTATTCAAGGAAAATGTTTCAATTGCACGGTATTTAATTGCACAATGCACACACTTTAATATACAATTACTAATGTTGTGACGTCGGGACACCAGTTAATATATCCGCTGTACCGTGTTCTTCGGATTATAAGACTCAGCCCCCAGAGGTAGAGCAATTACTTTGGACATGGCCAATGCACTGTTATTCACTGAAACAATTCATCCACAGGTTCCAATTCGCGCTGTGTTCTTCACTAATTTATAGAGGGTGCGGGAGGGGACACTTTTGCCGATTAGACATCATCACAAGTGTGAGGGCCAGACATTTGAAACCATTGTTGGGTTTTAAGCAGCATGGTGATGATGATAGGGGGTGTTTTCACTCGTTGTGTATTGTTGGGGGGGGGGGGGGGCGCATGTCAGAAAGACAAATTGCGTTTCGTCAACGTTATCTCAACACACTCGTTAAATGTGGTGCACGGTTTGAGAATTACAAATCACTTCCTTCAATCGGTGTAGTTCATCGAGCTCGGAATTGGATCAGCAAGGGTTATTACATACAGGGTTGCCCAAGAGTTGGGACACAAGAGGGTTATTTAATTTGTTTTAACACTGGCATTAAACAAACTTTCATTGTTGATTCTTTAAGTCTACATTCGGTCTATTATTAATATCTATTTTTTCTTCTTCCTTTGCAGATGACATTTTAAACATGGAAAGGAAATTGACTAAGGACGAACGCATTTCATTGGTTTCTATGTATGCTAAGGATGGCAGCACGTTCCGGTCAGTCGCCGAAGACTTTAATGTGTTGCACCCTGACAAAAATATTGGATTTTCATCGGTCAGAAAAGTGATCATGCGTTTTAAAGACACTGGCAGTGTGCATGACCGACCGCGCAGTGGTCGAAAAAAAAGTAGCACGAGTGAAGCCACATCAATCATGGTGCTAGAGCATGTGATTACCAGTCCAGAAAAATCCACTCGAAAATTGTCACGAGAAACAGGTGTGCCAAGAACATCCTGCCAGCGCATACTCAAGGAGGGTCGCTTTCACCCTTTCAAAGGTCACTTGGTTTGTTAAAAGAAATCTTAATAACCCTATGTGCCCTCACTTTTAGGCCACCCTTTATATATGTACGTTGAGGTTGCCGAGTGAGCCAATAGGTGGTTTGTTTGTATGTCTTTATGTATGTATGTATGTTGAACTTCTTTTGCACCTTACGTAGCCAACCGTGCTTATCGGAGGTGCGGGGGAAGGGACAGCAAACTAAACACAAAAAAGAAGTTTCAGGTGCATCTGTGAAATGCTGCGGGTAAATGATGCAAGTGAGCAGCAGTGGCATTAACCATGCGGACTGAGTTTGGCGACGGCAGTTTGCAAATTGTTGATTATTGCTTAGCTCCCTCGCATTTTTTGTACGATTTTTTTCCCTCCAGACATAGTGATGTCTAGTTGCATGGAGGGCGAGAAGAGAGAGGGGAAGGAGGGTAGCGGTGCGGACGATGGCGGCACCGTCAAAGTGGAGACGGATCCCTTCCTCGCCGGCCTGACCCTGATCTCGCAGGGGGCCGAGGCTCGCGTCTATCGCGGGACCTTCCTGGGCCGCCCTGCCGTGCTCAAGGAGAGGTTTCCCAGGAAATACCGACACCCGCAGCTCGACTGGCGCCTGACGAGGAGGCGTACTGTGCAGGAGGTGCGGTCTCTGCTGCGATGCAGAAGGGCAGGTGAGAGTTTCAAGTTCATTTATTAGGTATGGCCCTGTGAGCCATGCGGCTCTTAAGTCGGGTGCAACCGCAACAAACTAAATATGAACACAGATACGCGTGGGCTATGCTTCGTGATTTGTGATCGCTACTGTGGGGTGCAATTCAGAGGTCGCCATTTAGATCCGATTCGATCTCCCGGCGTGTCAGCTGAAAACAACGGGGCAAGTTTCTTCAACCATACAGCCTCTGTACACCCAGATGTATAAATGGGTACATCACAGTCAGTCGACAAGTTGCTTGTGTTTGGCTAAAGTGGTGGGTACTCCTCTTCCAAGGTGTTTGGCCAACGTCGAAGAGTAGGCCAAAATATCCTCTCGAGGGGCCAAGAGCTCCCCCTATTGGAGGCCTCTCCGCCAGCATTGGCGTGAGAAACGATAATCCACTTCAGCACATTTTTGTTTCACGCCCATAACTCAGCAAGGAAAGGTTGGCCTTTATTACGATACCAAGTTTGGAAATGTACCTTAGGGCAACATGTGGATTTGTGCAAGGTTTGTTCATAGTGGCACCAATAGACCGCCATTTGTCACTAATTGACGGTGACATCACCATGGCGCCTGTACCAGGCCAGGTGCACTTTGAAGTGGCACAGGCACATACCAGCATACAACGGAATAATTTGGAATATATGTTGGTGGTGGAGTGTAAAGCACACTGCCATATGAACCCGGCCGCTTGAGATTGACCGCTTGCTTCGGTTACCATCAGTGGCGAGCGATATCTGAACCCTGCCTATCCGCCCTCTCCTGTACCAACCCACATTGCTTAGCACGGTAAAGTACAGCACGGTGAAGTACAGCATGGTGAAGTACATTCAGAAAACCCCCACAATCAACATGGTGTGGGGGGGGGGGACTTCATCCAACAGTGCATTGACACACGGAGGAGCAGTGGCAGAGTGGTTAGCACACTTTGCTCTGACCCCAGCGTGGCGTGAGTTTGAATCGAGGCCACGAATTATGTCGGTGGTGATATCTGACTCAGTTTTGTGTTCCGCCATCACCAACCCGCACTGGCCAGTTTGGTGAAGTATTGTGAAAAAAACCCAACGGCCGAAGAAAGGCATGGTGGAATGCCTGAATGGTAAAGGGCTGTATATTATTGCTTTCATATCATTTTAATCGTTCACACATTGATTGCTGTACATTGTTGACCTCGCAGGCATCCTGACGCCCGTGGTTTACTTTGTGGATTATGAGCGCCATTGCATTTACATGGAGGACCTGGCGAGCGCCATCACGGTGCGCGAGTATGTGCAGTCCACATCGCAAGCAGCAGCAGGGGGAGAAGCTGCTAACCTTGGCGGTGCTGATCGGACGCACGCTGGCGCACATGCACACACAAGACGTGGTGCACGGGGACCTCACCACCTCCAACTTGCTGCTGCTCTTCCCGCCAGCGGAATCCCCCGAGCCAGGAGCCGGCGCTGCCTCACCGGAACCCTGCACACAGCAACCCCAGGTGAGCTCAGTCACTCTCCTCCACCCCTGTCACTCAGAAATTCCACTGCAGTGGTTAGGGGCAGTACCGTGGCCCGGGCAGTTGTGCGTGTGCTGCTTTTGTTGTTGCAGAGGTTTGTGGTTCGAGCCTTCTTGGCCATACTGGTTATTGCTGCAGGTTTATCGACCGTCAAAATACTGCTTCACAGGGGACGTTGAAGAACCAATGACGTTATTGTAAAAAAAAGAGGCGATGTATTGCTGGCATCATGGTTAAACTTTTAAGGCGGTCTGTGTGTGTGCGGCCGTCTGCTGCGTCAAGGTGGGTGAAGAAGATATCCCTGCAGATGCTCCATCGCTCACCGCCGCCACCAACACCACACACCCCGCACCATCCGTGCTGCACGTGCCCCCACAGCCGACTCCGCGCATGGCGCTCATCGACTTTGGGCTGAGCTGCGTGTCGACGCTGGTGGAGGACAAGGCGGTGGATCTGCACGTGCTGGAGAAGGCCTTTCTGAGCAGCCACCCTGGCACGGAGGCTATGTTTGCGGCCGTGCTCGCCGCCTACACGGCGACGATGAAGGGCCGCTTCGCCGCACCCATCATCGCTAAACTCGACGAGGTGCGGCTCCGTGGCAGGAAGCGCTCCATGGTGGGGTGAGGAGGAGAGGGAGGAGGAGGAGGAGGGACGAAGGAATGGAGGTGGAGAGGGAGTCGGAAGGGGTGAGGGAGAGTGACTGACACGCCATAGTAGGTTGAGAAAGATGAGGGGGTGAAGGGGTGACTGGTGGCGGAGGAGTAGGAGAAGGGAGGCGGCAGAGGAGGGGGGGTGACGGGCGCTGTTTATGATGGAGTAAAGCATAACGAGGTGGAGGCAGCAGAGGACGTGGGGGAGGCTGTAGTGGTCCCGGCCAAAGGAATATGGCTGTTGTGGTTATAATGTGGCTGTTCTGTACTGATGCACCGCATTTTTCCCTTTGAAACTCGCTGGGTCGCTGGCTGAACACATTTTCTGTTTAAGAAATAAACATTGAAATGAATGGTAGTGGTTATGGTTGTGATTATGTGATGCCAGCTGTTATTGGTGCTCTGTAAAGCACACATTCAGACAAAGGTGGAACACTGTCATCATATTTGGGGGGGAGCACCCAGTTCTACATCACTATACTCGATAGAATTCAACATGCAGTTAGGTTGATTGATGGTCCAGCATTGATGCACTCCAGTTACTCAATCACAAGGGGTCAGTTGCCTCTTTAATGCTCTTCTGTCATTATTACTGTAGTTTATGATCTGATGACATTAACTTCTTGATTCCTCCATCCATTTTGAGGAAACAGTATACAAAACACTGTCTCTGCATTCAGCCACCAATGCTGCAAACCGAAACACTTCTGTTTCTGTTACTTCGCTAGCACGGATCGACTACGGGATTACTTCTTAGTGTCGTTTTTTCCCAATCTGTCATAACCTTGCACAATTCAAGAAAAGTCTCAACTCTTATGTATTTCAACGTTTATTGCACTGTGTCTTGCTGGCAACTTGAGGTTTTGGACCTTTGCACCTGTGCTCAGTGTCTGGATTAAACATATATTGCAGACTAGCGGTAAGTACCCGGCGTTGCTCGAGCGAAAAAGGCAGACACACACATGGACTTACACGCAGACATTGACCCACACACATAGAAACACATCGACTTAGACGCACACACACATATGGTTAAACCCAGGATGGATCGTTAGCAGGCCAGCCTAAATGTTTCTAACCGGCGAAGATGTTCCATTAGGGAGGTGCATGTTTCGCAAGCGTATAGAAGGGAGGGAATTACCGTGGCCGAGAAGACCTGGAGCTTCATGTGGAGCGAGAGACCAGGTAGCTTCCACACAGCGTAACGCATGCGATGAAAAGATAATGGCGCTCGACTGATTTGGGGTGAGACCTCTGCTGTTAAACCGGAGCCGGTCATGAGCACACTGGCCAGGTATGGGAATCTCGGCAATCTCTCCACAACCGCCGCATCACCAATTGTGAGTTGGGGTGGATTGTTGGATGGTATAAAATACCCAGGCAGGTGCTTAGTTTTGGTGGGGCTGATGGTAAGGCCCCACCTCTTAGTGGCAAGCTCCAGGTTCATCAGCAGTGAGCAGCAATCACCAGAGCATCGGCATACATAACATGGTTGAGTAATAGGGAGGCATCCCTTGACCGCACCCGGGCATCGATCAGCCTCCTATTGTATCTGTACCATATGGTAATTCCTCGGGTACAGCCATTGAAGGCTTCACGAACTACGTGGTCAAAAGATATGTTCAATAATGTGGAGCCAGAGGGACATTCCTGTCACACCCCAAGGTGTAGAGGGAATGGCTCTGACTGACGGCCACCTAGTTTGACGTGGGACCGCTCACCATCTCTGATTGATGGACACAAGACGGAAATCTGACGCGACACAGGGGCCAGCGTGCCACTGGTTGAGGCCCCGCATCGACCAACTGCTAACTCCAGGCCCGGAGCTGCACACTGCCGGTGGAGTGGAGTTGGGTTGACTGCACCGCCCGATGCTGGACCTCCTCCTGGGGAAGGAGGGGGGGACACAGCATCCAGCATTAGCTCCTTGTCACCCAAACTTTGTCCCAGCAACGCATCGCTGGGACAGACCTGCAGGAGAGATGTCCGGCTGTACCTCCATTATTATTTGATATTTTGTGTTTTATAATGCGCAGCAGACCCAACAAAGGGCTTCAGAGCAGCGTCTATAAAAAATTAAAACTCTGGGTTGAAGCCAGGCATCTAGACAGACAGATCGTTGATGACCAGTCTGCCCAGCAGATGGGGAAAGAGATGCAATGGAGAGAGGTGACGGGCTTATAGCTGTGTGTGTGTGACCGCAGTGAGCTGTCACCATAGTGAGTTGCATTTTTACTTATTCATCATTAAGTGTCACAAGCTTCGTAGTTGAAATGTATTTAAGCAGTGATGTAAAGTCCTTTGTATAGACCAGGGGTCGGCAACCTACGGCTCCGGAGCTGCATGCGGCTCTTTACGGGCTGCTTCTTGACGATATGTACGTATGTACAGTATGTACATAGATGCATTGCGGCTCTTGAAATACTGAATTTTGTACCGAATTGGAAAGAAATGGCTCTTCTTGTTATTTTGGTTGCCGACCCCTGGTATAGACAAATCGCTGATATTTTATTTATGAAAACGGCCACTAAAACCTATAATGTATTTACCAACTTTACCGTTTCTTTCAAATCTATACAACCAAATGACCCTATTTTGCCGGCTCTCAGAAGCTAATTGGGGCTGGGAGATTGCTGGCCACTATGCAGGCTCTGCCCGCATAGTGGCCAGTAGATGGCAGTAGAGCAATACAAATCTTTAATCTATCTGTGCTGAGCTTAGAGTGTGTCATGCATGGAGGGCTTTTCTCCGGGTTCTCAAGTTTCCTCTGACGTGTCAGTTTCATTTATTAGGTACTAGCTGTACTACCCGGCTTCGCCCGGGACTTGGATTCACGACGCCCGGCCGCCTTTGTCTCCCCAGTGGCGATGTTCACACACCACACCAGTTACTCGTTTGAGGCTGAGTCGACCTAGGGGAGGCCCAGGACCGGTTAAAATAATCGTCACCGGTGGTATCCGTGAGCGGGAATCGAACTCGGGTCGCCGGGTTCGTAGCGCGGCGCGCTACCCACTACACTACAATGCGTGACGCTTCCACATGCGCGGGTCACGTGACAGATTTGACGTCACAGCTCACTTGTGCAAAAAATATATGCATTATTGAGCTCCCCCCCCCCCAAAAAATATACAAAGTATAAAAAAATATATACAAAGTATATAATATACAAAGTATATTTTTTAAATATAATTTTCGCATGGCGTACAGTCTGGAAACTACCCACATGGCAAATTTCCAGTTTGTTGCATGTCGGGAAGTACGCAAAACATTTTGAACAGACACACATAATCACAACTTTGCCTTTTATATATATGGAGATAACCCTGTGAGCCATGCGGCTCTTGACTCGGGTGCAATCGCATGAACCAAAACACTCATTCGTGGAATCGGCAAAACATCCACAGAGCAGGACCCTCTTGAGAAAAAGTATCGAGACTCAGTTAAGGATGTCCTGGGGAAAAATAAAAAGAATGACTATACTTTTAATAATTTTTTTTTTCCTTGGCATCTCAGTGTCAATTTCTTTTTCCAATACATCTTCAGCCTTTCAGTCCGATTGTCAGATATTGGCAGAAACATTAACTCATTCTAACATCACAAGTGCAGTCTTTAGCTTTAGGGTAGGGGTTTTCAATTACATCATTGTCAGCAATATTCATGATTAAATCGCTTGCAAATCAATCACGGTCCTACAAAGCAATAATCCACCCAGCACCTGAGCACGATCTGATTTCCGTCGCTCCATCTCTGCAGTGAACGTCATCTTGGACGCATTCTAGAGCTTAGTTGCAGCCTGGTTTGTCCAAAAAAAAGTTGTATTTACACACCAGGTACTTCAACATGCATGGCACCTCTCGCTGTACCTGTGGCTTTCCGTCACGCGCCTCCCTACCGCTTCAGTCTACCAGCCACCCGGAAAATATTCGGCGATAAATTAAGCCGTGGCACATTATATACTTTGGCTGCCACCCAGTTGTGTCGCCGAGGGGGTGATGTACCATTCTCGTTCCGTTGTGGATGTGCACTGATGCCTACTCTCAGGCACGTAAAATGCAGATCGATCGATCGAGTTGCTATTCTTACTCACTGGCCATCAGTCCACATTCGTGACGTTTCCTGCCCAAGCCCAATTACTTTTCTGAACGGTCAATATCTTGTCTTTAACACGCATCTGCTCTCCAATCCATGTGCGCTTCTCTTTCCGTCTGTGTCAGCGAAAACAATGTCAAGTCTTTGAAAGAAGAGGGTTACTCTATGAGACCTCCTTTACCAGTGGCAAAATATAGTAATAGGGTTTTACCCTTTCAACTGGTACAAAAACTGACATGATGCCTTGTATAAAGGTGTCAGTTTTTGTACCAGTTGAAAGGGTAAACACCGATTACTATATTTTGCCACTGGTAAAGGAGCTCTCATAGTGTAAATACTTACCCCGAGCTCTCAATATTCTGATAGTGCGCTGTTTTTTGAGTTGTACGCCTTTTGGCGTCATCTGGTCCAACAAAAATGGAGACTAGGCTCTAAGAAAAGCTGTCTCGGGTGTGGACCAATCAACTTCAAGGACAGTGCATATCATTATCATCATCAGAGTTGTTTCATTTTCTTTGCATTTGACTGCTTGTGTTGTGGTTATTGCAAACATGATGCCTTGTATAAAGGTGTCAGTTTTTGTACCAGTTGAAAGGGTAAAAACCTATTACTATAAGAGGGTTACTCTTTGGTTCTTTCGGTAAAGTCACGTAGAAAGAGAAAATAATAAATTAAATAATAGCACACGACGTTTCGATCGCAACACGAGCAATCATCATCAGGTACAAATGAAAGAGAAAATATAACCTAGTAAACTTAGAAATATAATGCAATACAACACAGATAGTCGGCTAACATAACAGTCAACACCCTACCTATTTGTACCTGATGATGATTGCTTGTTTTCATTTGTACCTGATTATGATTGCTTGTGTTGCATTCGAAACGTCGTACGCTATTATTTAATTTATAATTTTCTCTTTCTACGTGACTTTACCGAAAGAACCAAAGAATAATTTCCTGCAGTCACTAAAGCGCCAAATCAAGAAGAGGGTTCTTGATTGCCAACGCTAATACCTGGTTCTACGTGTCCCGAAGTTAGGATCTCTGTCACGTAACTCAATTCCGCACTGTCAGAAATGTTCCGATACGGGAATGTATTTCGATAGGGCTGAGTCGAGGGTTACGATGGGACCCACATGACGTGCAGGGACAATCACTCTGAGTGGCTGTTAAATAACGGAGGTGGTGTCTGGCAGGGTGCAGAGGAAAAGGGACAGAGGGTTCAAGAAGTGGTCAAACATTCATGAATGCTGGATACAG